TTCTGTTGAGTACCCTGAGTTTAACTCTCATTCTCCTCCTGCTATATGTGGAGTTGGTGTTAGTGTTAGGGGACCTTCACATCCCGCACCGGTGCTCTGGTCTACCTGTGAAGTTCAAGAAGCTGTTGGTTCCAGGAAAGATTCAGCACATCTTGTGCACAGGAAACCTCTGCACCAAGGAGAGCTATGACTATCTCCGGACCCTGGCTGGGGACGTCCACGTTGTTAGAGGGGACTCTGAGGTAATGTTCTTGCTGCTGTTAATTTCTCAAACCCCTTCCTGAGAAATCTGTGGTCTCGATAAACTTGGGAGTCCTTCAGTATTAGCAGTTCCAGAACTGTAGTTCACCAGGATAGGAGATAGGAATAAGTAACATTGAACAAACAAAATTATTTTCTAGACCCCTCTTATTTGGGGGAGTCATACATGAACTCTGGCACAAGTCTGTGGCTGCTGTCAGGCCACAGGAGGGCCCCAGCCGGCTGCATAGCTGCAGGAACTGGGGGCTTGTGTGTGTGTATTTACTGTTGGGCAGCCTTGAGGTTCCTGATCTCTGCACAAACTCTCCACTCTGCTCTGTGGTTTCTCTCGCTGGGGTGTGGTACGAGCATCCAGTGAGTCTGCATGTTAAGACCTTGTGCTTTCCAATAGTGAAAGGCAGGTTTATATTTTGGGACGTAGCAACCTGTATTGTGTAGGTGGGGGCTCTCTGGCTGATTTATAGCTGTGCCTTTTGCCTTTTCAGAGCCTGGATTATCCTGAAGAGAAGGTTGTAACTGTCGGACAGTTCAGAATTGGGCTGATTCATGGCCATCAGGTTATTCCCTGGGGTGATGTGGGCAGCCTGGCCCTGCTGCAGAGGCAGCTGGATGTGGACATTCTCATCTCTGGACACACACACAGATTTGAAGCATTTGAACATGAAAACAAATTCTACATCAACCCGGGATCAGCTACAGGAGCCTACAATGCTTTGGAAATGTGAGTGAGAGGAGCCCTGAGCTGCCCAGCACAGCAGAGCCCATAGGTGATACCTGAACATGTGTGTTCACCTGTGAATGTCCAGCCACTGTGCTGCAGAGCACTGTTGAGGTGCTGTAAGGAGCAGGAGGCTGGCTCTCTCCCCTCCCTGGGAACACAGTGGGGCTCCCCTGTCACCAGGGTTTGACTTAGCCCATGTGTTACTTGTGCCAGCTTGGCACTGGTATGTCTGGGGCTTCTTCCTGGGCCTGGAGGGGGGTGAGTTGCAGCAGTGCCTTGAAGTTGTTTTGCTTTCTGGTGTCTTCCCAGAAGCCGCTTGCTAATATTTTGTAGAATATCGGACTATGGGAGGCACTGTCAGCTTAAATGTCTGAGCAAGGCATGAGTTGGACTTCGCTAGGCAAAGTGCAACTCTGCCTGAGGTGCTGTGGTTGGTGCCTGCAAACTGCAATGTTTCCCAGATCCCTGCAGCCCTGGGCAGCTGCGTGCATCAGAACACATGAACGTAACGTATGTTAATAGCAAGAAGCGTGACTTGATTGGGAAGATAGACACAGTATGTTTTCTTTCCAGGAACACCGTGCCTTCATTTGTGTTGATGGATATCCAGGCTTCCACAGTTGTGGCTTATGTGTACCAGCTAATTGAGGATGATGTGAAAGTAGAAAGAATTGAGTTCAAGAAGTACTGAATCATGTCCAACTTGCTTGTTAACTTCTCACCCCCTTTCATTCCTTCTCTTCCCAGTTAAGTCCAGGTGGAGGCAGGCCACCGGGGGGTGCTGCTGCTGCACAATAAAGTAGCCACAGTGCGTTATTGTTCGTGAGCTTGTTTAAAAATAAAACAAGAAAAAAATCCAAAACACCACAGAAGAAACTGGTGATGAAGAGAGAGAGGACTGTAGAAGATCTCCTGTGTCTATGAAGAAGCTGCTATGTTCCTAAATAAGGGAGTCGTGGAGGGTGGTAGTAGTTTGGCATTGAAACTCTTCTGTAAAATGAGTAGAATAATAAACACCAGTCTTCATGTGTCTGTGTCCTATTCATCATGCTTCAAAAAGTTGAAGGTGGGCTGGAATCTGGTGTGAGGGAGCTCTGAGGGCTGAAAGGAAGCTGTGGTTTGCCTGGGTGGTGCTGGGCAAAGGCAGCTGTAGAAGGTGCTTCAGCAAGGCAGGGTGCACAAGTGTTTCAGCCATCCCTTGGTGCATGTCTTGGCTAAGGTTGTATGTACCAAAACCAGAGCTGAGGACCATTTGCTTGGACAGCTTGATCCACCTGGTTATAGTCCTGTGGATCCTGAGAGAAACCCATGTGTGGAGCTCTGGTGTGAAGCAGGAACTGGCTTTCCCAGCTCAGTGACCCAGGGATTAGACAGCCCAGACTGATCTCTGTACCTTTGGTGGGCAACAGATGTGCCTGGAGCGGGTGGGGGAGCACTGGGACAGGAGCAGGCTGTGAATGCTGGGGCCATGTTTGCATTGAGGGGCTGTGCCCAGGTGGGAGGGGAGTTAAGAGGGACCCAATGTCCACAGCACAGCCCCGTTGTGGTGGAGACATGGAGCTGGTCGGATTGTGCCATGGCCTGGGTCCCTCTGCTCCTCGCGCTGCTCACCCATGGCTCAGGTGCCCTGGCCAGACCCGCTGTACTCGCATGGGGCCTTTGTGCACAGGGGCCCTGTCCTGCTGCCCGGGCAGGGCTGTGCTCCTGGGCACTGGCTGACCCCCATCTTCTCCCCTCTCTTCTTTCCCTCTCCAGGTTCCCTGGTCCAGGCAGCGCTGACTCAGGAGCCCTCATCAGTGTCAGTGGAGCCAGGAAAGGACGTCCAGATCACCTGCTCCGGGTTTAGCAGTGGCAGCAATGCTGGCTGGTACC